TAAATTCAACACCTAGTATACAAAAGTTTATATGTTTTCCAACAATATGTGGGTTGGGAACTAGAGGGTCGGGTTTAGTCTAGTACCATATCCTACTCATAACATACGGGTTGTAGAATCCCAAAACCCATCCTTCAAGCAAAAACCCGCCCCATTGGGTAGGGTAGAAATTGCACCTAGGTTGGTAAACTCGAGCTTAACCTTGAGTTGGGCCAAGCCTAAGGTCACGGTTTTAGACTTAGGATTGGGTTAACCCTTAATCTGACCCAACCCACCCAAGTTGCACCCCAAAAAATAGGGTTGTGACATTTCTAATTGTATTAGTTTTTATTTTTTATTACATTGTTTTAACTTTTACTAAATTTTTATTTAGTATTAGTTTTTATTATTTTAAATGGATCAAAGGAATTTAAATTAATAATAAATTGAATGTAAAACTGATAATTTTATTACTTTTTTAATTTTATAAAAAAAGTGTAGTATCATAATCAAATTATAAGATTTAATTTTGAAACTAAAATTAAACATGTATTAATTTGTATTTACTTTCTTTTTAAATAAAAATCTTGTATTAATAAAAATTTTTAAAATATTTTTAATAATTTGTATCATTTTTATATATAATTTTATATGGAAGAAACTTAATTAACATTTGACTGTTTTAACCAATAAAAGTAAATTAACTAAATAAAAAGTAAATTATCGAATAACCATACACAAAGTTAACTAACTACCAATTAATTAGTTTTAACTAATTAACTTAATTTAATTAAGCTAATGAAGTAAATTAGTTAAGGTACTCAAGTTAATTTAATTTAACTAACCTCTCTTTGATCCTAGCATGACCTACCTAAAAAAATAGAAGATCATGAACAAAAAAAAATACCGAACTTCTAATGGCACCAACAAAAACTCCCAAATCTTTTGTAAAACTTTGCTAGAAAACCTTTTACATGAATAAAATGAAACATATCCTAACTTGTGCTCCAACTAATAGAATAATAAATGACAGGATGCAACAAACAAAATGCAAATGTAGCATCAGCTATGACACGTCTTCCCTCCATTGGATTTACCTGTAACCCGATCACCTTCTATCAATCAACTGCTGAAATAGAGCAGGAAAGATAAAAAAGAAGGAAAGAGTACAGCAGAGTAAAAAGACGTTATGGGAACAAAACCAAGAGTATTGGAACTAGAGATTAGATAGAGCTGTAACTCAATTGTAGAAAGATTTCCTACTGTATTGAGTAGAAGATAAATAGAGAGAATAGACTGTAGAGTTTCAAATGTGGAAGGATTTCCTACTATATTTAGACAGAGGAGATAGTTTGAAAGGTGGGAAGATTTCCTACTATATAGGGATTGGTTTCCTATTATATTGGGTTGGATTCCTAAAATCATGATATATATTATACGTCTAATTACTTGGGTCCAAAGAGAAGATTGTTAATTAATTAATTAAATTAAATTGTTAAATAAATACCATAACGAAGAAATATGGTATTTATTTTAAACATTCATTAATTATTCTATAATGATTTCAAAATAACTATTTTAAATTTTTAGTAATTATTTTGAAACAATTATTTTCAGTATTTATTTTATTTTTTTGTAATTATTTTAAAATAATTTCAAAATAAGTTCTAAGTAATTATATTAAATTTCAGTACTTTTTAGTGATTTTCAGAATTTTTGTAATTTTTGATCAATTTTAGCAATTTTCAGAAATATATTCAACATTCTCTATTAATAAATATGGAATTTTTTTTAAAATTTATTAAAAGTTTAAAACTACTGAAAATATTAGTGAATGGAAAACATAATTACTTTCAACATAGTAGATTTTTAATTAAATAAATAATATTTTTTAATTAATTAGTTTACTGTATTATGGTAAACAAACCTAGCTTAAGAAGTTTGTTGAGGACTAAAGTAATTAAACAAAAACTTATTTTAAAAATCATTGAAGAACACAATAACAAAAATAACACAGTAGCATAGTAAATAACAAAAAATGGGTCGGATCTGAGACGGACAGAGCAAAGATCCGACCCACCTGAATAATCTCTATTACCCACTTTGCATCTACAGTGATCGCTCAAATGGGCAATCGCATACCTCTGCAGTAGCAAAATGCCAAAACCGGTGCAATGAACACAGCCCTTCTTCCACTGCTACTGTGGGTCCGTGATCACCTAAATCAACTGAATGTAACAATAATAGTGGAGGTGTTTTGGAAAAKAACTAAATGTTTACAGTAGCAGTGAAATGTAACTGAATGATTAACAAAGTGACTCACATGTGGGGGAGGTTTTAACTGGTAGAGGTATGTTGCCAGTGATTTCCAACTGTAACTTCATGAGAACCAAAGAACGATTGAATTGTAAGAGAAGAAGATGGTGGTTTAGAAACACGATGGGGCCGAGCCCATATATTGCTGCATAGAAGAAGAAAGACGATTCCCCTATTTTGGCAATAAGTTTTGCTTACTTGTAGAGCACAATGGGCTGGATTTTGTAGTGCCACTGGTATAATTATGGTTGAACCGCAATAGGAGAAGACTATAGGTTAGAAACACAATAGAGCGAAAACCTTGTTTCGTGGCTTAGAAGGAGAAAAACGAATAAACAATTCTCGCCTTACCTACGGGATGGCTTCTCTTGATTGAATAGTTGGTTGAGCTGGAGAAAAGAGAAGATGTCGGTGTTTCACTTGGAAGAGAAAGACTGTGAGATGTGTTAGGAGTCTGATTTTGGGTTGAATGAAAATCACGATTTAGAATCATGATTGGTTCTAACTCTATTAAATCACAAATCCTTAATTGATATTTTCCATTATTGATTTGCCACAAGGCTTAATGAAGATTTGTGATTGGATTAATTTGAAGAAGGCTATAAAACTAAGAGGCATATTGGCCTTGTTTTCCTATCCTATTATGATTTGGAGTTGGAATATGAAGTAGTGGGTCAGGCATGATGACGTGGCTTTGTGAGAGAGGGAGAAGACATTGATGACATGGCTTTATGAGGGAGCAAGAAAAGCTAAAACAAGAGGGCTGAGAGTTTTCTGTTGGGGTAATGGAGAAAGCTTTGGCCACCTACGTGGTACATTCTACTTTAGTATATATATAGATTTAAAATGGTGTGTTTTGATTTCTCCATGACTATTTTGTCTACTCCTTGTGATAATTTTGCATCTCTTTCCCCTTATAAATACCATACCTTATAAATCATACTAATTATTTGGGCAAAATTCTTAGACTACCCTTATGGTTTAGTTAATTGGCTAATTCTATCATTACTGTTTACATATTGTCTTAAAGTATTATTACTAATTTTAACAATTGACATCATTGTTATTTATTAACAGAAAAAAATTAAATATCGAATTTGCCCTTAACTTTTCTTCAAAATTTCAAAATAAAACCTAATTGATGAAAATTTTCAAAATGGATAAGATGGATTGTAATAGGATTACAAGGACGGGGATGATGGCAACGATGTGGTGGGGTACATGGGAAGAGCTCCTCCTCAGAGGTGCTGTTCTTGCGCATTGGAAAACCACCTCGGAGCTGAAAAACCCCCTACCCCAAAGGGCTCCCTAAGGGTGGCCACAAGCCGAGCTCTTCATGAGCTATTTGAGCTTGGCTCATGAAAAGCTCGGCTCAGCTTGGTTACCGAGCTTCGAGCCCAATTTAGAGGCTCGATTAACAAACAAGCTGAGCCTGAATATATATATATATATATATATATATATAATTATGGAAAATAAAATATTGTAATTATTATTTTTTAATATTAAATAAAAAATACTATATATATTTTTAATTTTATAATTTTTTCTCAAATCGAACTCGAATTTATAAATTTTTTACTCAAGCCGAGTTCGAGCTCAAGATTCTAGCTCGAACCAAACTCGAACCCTATAACACATAGGCGAGTTGAACTCGACCTTGGAAGCTGGAACCCGTCATTGTTGTTGAGACGTGAGAGTTAATCAATGGTTTGTGCCCATGCCTTCTTCGTGGATGGCAACGGTAGAACACTATTCATCGAAGTGTTTATTTCATTAAGCAATGAGCAATGCTAACATGTTTTAAGATTTTCTTTGCACTGTTTACAACCGCAACATGTACCACTGGTTTTCCCTTTGCTGTATTGAGATTTTTTCTCTGCAATTCCTTGTTTAGTGTTGCAAATCGGATTAACCCTGTCATGGTTTCTCAATGATCCAATTAGATCAGAGTGAGAAATATCTTTACCCACATCCGTCGRGGCCGATGGAAAAACAGACTCAATTAGCTCTGATCATAGGACTGACCATCAAGTTGCAAAGGAATATTTTAGGATTTTTCAAAATATATCAGTAATGTTACATGTAAACGGAGTGTGACTGAAAATTAATAGCAAGAGAGTTTTTAAACAATTACCAGAAACAATAAGATCTATGTAAATAAACCATAAAGGTAGTTAATTAATTAAACCATAAAGATAGTTTTTAAACAATTACCAGAAATAATAAGATCTATGTAAATAACAAGGATAAATTAGTTAATTAATTAAACCATAAAGATAGTTTAAGAAATGTTTTAATCATTTTCTTAATTTTACTAATTTATTTACTGTCTATAACATCTTTTTCATCCTTCACTCTTTTTTTTTAATGCTACTGATTTTCATCTGTGGACTGGGGCGGAGCCGGGGGTGGCAGAGGGGAGCCATGGCCCTTTTATGCCTTGAAAATCCTCATAATAATTATTTAAATTTTACATATATTTTGCTTCTCTTATTTATGTTTTTTATCTTTTAACCCCCCGATCTATGCTTATTATACTTTGGCCCCCTCAATAAAGAATCCTAGCTCCGCCCCTGCATGTGGACATTTCAATTTTAGAAGATGCATTTTAACAAAATATTTATTATTTACTAAAAATCTGGGTTATAAAAGAAATAATAAAAACGTTTTTTGTTAATAAAAGAAGGAAATTAACTGAAGTTTCAAGTGTCAAATACCCGGTTGGACGACCACTTCCAGTTCCCACTCCCTCGTTTCGCTCAGAAAACAAAACAGCATCTCAAGCACGGCTTCCGAACTCGTCTTCCTTCTGAAACCTCAAAAAATAACATTTCGTTTCGTTGCCCGTAACAATCGTCCAATCCTTTTGTTTTAGTCGGATCATTAAGAAGGTAAATAAACAAAAGACAACAAAAGTTATACACCCGTAGCTCCTCTCAGAAACCAGCTTTTATTTCCTCGTCATTTATTATTGTTAGGTCTGGCTTTATCGATCCGATTTCGGTATTGATTCCATTCTTTCTGATCAGTTGGAGTGGTCGATTAGTAAGCAGCAATGGCTCTGTCCGCTTCTGACCTTCCAACAATGTACTCGCTGCTCGCCAATTCCCTGAGCGGAGACGAAAGATTGCGTAAACCGGCAGAGGCAGCTCTTTCTCAGTCTGAAAGCAGGCCCGGCTTCTGCTCTTGCCTCATGGTAATTCATGTTGTTGTTCGTTTCTAGGGTTTTATTTTGATTGACCATCGTCTACAAATGCATGGAACTCATTTATTTTCATTTCTCTTGGTAGATATTATTATTCGAATTTATAAGAAAGGATTTTTTTCCTTTTTTGATTTGAATTTTATTTGAAGTGGAGTTGGAGTTCACTGTGACCGAGTTCATCTTTGGGAATTCAGATATTGCATTGATTTCTTTATTATCTTGTCTCTCTACCTCGGTATGTGTACTGAATATTATAGTTAATGTAGGAAGTTATTACTGCAAAGGATCTAGCTTCTCAGACAGATATTCGTCTCATGGCTTCTGTTTATTTTAAGAACAGCATTGGTCGATACTGGAGAAATAGGCGTGATTCTTCGTAAGTTATTCTTTTCGTATTCTAACCCCATTTTTTATTCATTTTGCTGAAGTCACTGTTAGTTCGGCTACTTATTATTGTTAACATGTATTCATTGCCCATACCTGCATGTTGTAGAATGGAGGTAATGCTTGCACAATGCTCACTATTGATTTGAAAAAAAATAAAGAGATGGAAAGCAGGTTTAGCTCAAAGAAATAAGCTATTTTTACTCTCCCATATGTGAAAATTTTAGTTAATTCTTCCTTGCCCACATGGATATTACAATTACACCAACCCCGACTTGGTCATCCTACAAGAAACTAAGGTGGCAAATTTTGACAGGGGATGGACTGGGAGCGTTTAGGGGTTAGTCGGGCCTTCACACCTTCATGGGGGGTCTCTAGGAATTGTAACCATTTGGGAGAATGAGGGCCTGGAAAGTTTAGAAGAATTGGTGGGGAGATTTTCAGTGTGAGGTTGGATTTGAGTGGGTAATGACAAATGTATGGTTCCAACAATTGTATAGAAAGAAATGAGATGTGGGAGGAACTCAGTAATATTAAGGGATTGTGGAATGGTCCATGGTGCTTGGTGGTGACTTAAATGTCATTAGATACACACAAGAGACAAACAACCCTAGGCAATAGGTAACCACAAAGCATGAGGAAATTCAATTAGTTCATTAGTGATTGAGAATTAAAGGAACAACCTCTAATGCAAGCCAAATCCACTTGGCCCAACCTCCAAAGTAATCAATCCCGTTTGCTCCATGATTGATAGATGCCTTTTCGCTGTAGATTGGGATGAGCATTGGAGAGATATAAGTTGTAGAGCCTTGCTTAGAGTCACATTGATCATTGATCTATCATTTTATGTCAGGAAGGAGTAGGGGGAGGAGGACTAACTTTGCTTAGATTTGAAAACATGTGGCTCTATCACCTAGGTTTTAAAATAAAGGCGCAAGAATGGTGGGAGGGGGGCAGAGTAGATGTCAAATGGAAAGGAATGGGATTCCATAAAAAGCCACAAGTGCTAAAAGAGAAAAATCAAAGAATGGAATACAAATTATAGCGCATTATGGGAAATTGGAGGAAGGGAAAAAGACAAATTTTGAGCAAATTGAGGAATTGGGTAAAAAAGAAAATCAAGGAGTTTAGGGAAGAGGGCAAAAAATTAAGATGGGAATCAAAAGGTGGTTCGAGAACATTTTATGCAAAAAAGAGGTCAACTAGAGGCAGAAGTCTAGATGCAAATGGTTTAAGGAGGGAGATACCAACACAGTATTTTCATGTAATGGCCAATCAGTAAGAGGGAATAACTAGGGCTTCTATTAACCATTTAAAATCTATTTCTATTTATAGAAGGCGACTGAGTAGAAGAATTGCGGTGGAAGGTCAGGACTAGCTGAGTCTAAGCAAAGAGTTTATGGAAATGCTAGCATGCCAATTTAAGATGGAGGAAATTGGAGAGGCTATATTTTATATGGATAGATCAAAACCCTTGGAGTCTGATGGTTTTAGTATGGCCTTCTACCAAGATTGTTGACACATTCTTAAGTGTGACTTTTTTTTGAAGAATAAGATAAAATTCATTAGAAAAGGAAAAAGAATACACTAGGAAGGTGATAAGACATCACTCGAATAGGAAATAAACCCAATAGCCCAACAAAGATCTTGTACTAAAACCCATAAAACCAAATAGAAAAAACTTACAACTTTTCTCAAAACAATCTCAAGCACAAGCTAATAAAACAAAACAAGAGATCCCCGTAAGAGAAAAAACATCCAAACCCACCCCTAAGTAGAAACTTAAGTCCTCCTTGCTCCACAACCTAAGCCTCAATCTTCCACCACAAATTCATCCTTCCGGCCTAAAACATCTTCGTCCCAATGCTTGTCGCCATCTCGATTAGGTTTTTTGTTAATCTTCTCTTCCCTTTTCCTTCTTTCAAACTCCTCAAAGGCCCTTCCGGCAAACTCCTCACCATCCTAGAAAAATAAACCCAGGCTCATTCCAATCGTGACCTCTCTACTCACCAGGTTCCGAAGAGCCCCACTCCTTGTCTTGTTGTCAACACCACCGTTATTTTGCATTGTTGCACACACACACTTTGTCCTTCTGTTGCTCCTTTCCTACATGAGGGGATGCAGGCTAGCATTGCACCGTTGTCTCCCTGCTATCAATGCCAGATGACCTATTGCCTCTAAATCTTTTCCTCTTATAAACTCATTTGAAGTTTTTTTGTGGGGCCTGACCCTGCTAGACCAAGTTTTATCATGGAGAATACCTTCATCACATGCACTGTGTTAAGATTTTTCGAACTACGAGGTTTCTTGTTGATTGCCTCACTTATCTGGTTCTTTTTCTTTTCATCAAGCTTGCCCCTACGACCCGGATCAACCTCCAACCTTCCTGCCGTCACCTCCTCGGATTTAAAACCATCCTCATCGTGGCTCCCCTCCAGACTCTTCGCGTCTTCTTCATCACCAGCTTCACCTTTTCCTTTATTCTCACAATCTCTCTTAGGTGCATCACCAGTAGAGACATGCCCTTCCCCAATCTCCTCCTCCCCCCCTTCCAGCCCCTGTAAACCCGCATGGTGATCCACTCCCGATGTCAAAACAGCAGGCTTTCCAGAGTTCTGCCTGCTCCCACCTGGAACTTTGGACTCAGTGGATTCTCCAAAAACCTCGGCACCTCTTCTGCCCAGGGTACAGTTATCAAGCTTTTTCTTCACTAAAATCGTTGAGCTTCTCACTTGATTAGTACCTGTTTCACCAATGAGACTCTTCTTGCTGCTCTTGTCATACTTGGCGACAATTCAGATCCACGTCTCTCCTTTCTTTTCTCTGCTCTCATTCAGAGCACTTCTCACTATCGGCCCTCTTCTCTTAAACTTTGGTCTGTGAATATCTAACGCCTTTCTCCTGAAATCTCTGATCTTCCTCCTCTTATTTTTCTTCCTTCCCTTTACAATTTCACCATTATGAACCTCGTTGTGATTTGGAACTATGTTAGGCTGAGACGCAAGCTTCAAACTGAAGCCCTGGATTGAAGTAGACAGTGATAGATGATTCGACTTGTCCCCTATCGAGCTGCACACAAGCCCTTCTTAAGTGTGACTTGCTAGACATTTAGAGATTTGTTAAGAGGGGGATAATCTAGCCAGGAGCCTTGGGTGCAAAATAGGCAAATAACATATTAGATTGTGATAGCAAATGAGTGTGTGGAATAGTTGAAGAGATCCAAGAAGAATGGTGTGATTTGTAAGTTAGACATAGAAAAAGCCTATGATTTGGTGGATTGGTCATTTATGTTGGAAGTGTGAAGGAAGTGTTGATTTGGGGAGAGATGATGCAAGGGTTGCATCCAATTTTGTCATTATTCAATTTTGGTGAATGGCATAGTTAAAGATCTTTTTCATGTTTGTAGAGGAATAAGGTAGGGTGACCCCTTCTCCCCCTTCTTGGTTATCCTCATAGCTGATTTTTATTTTTTATTTTTTATTATTTTGATAGATCTCATAGCTGATGTTTTAGCAGATTAATTTTGAGGGCAGATAAAATCCTATTGTTTCGAAGATGGAGAATAGGAAGAGAAGAGTGGTGGTTACTAACTTGTAGTTTGCTGATGATATTATTTTGTTCTATGATGGGGAGGAACAATGGGTTAAGTGCATGAGGCTAATTATTTAGTTGTTTGAGAAAATCTCAAGTTTGGAGGTAAATTTTAATAAGAGTTGCTTAGCTGGCATTATTATGGAGGAGAGGGAGTTAGAGGCTTTTGCAAGGATTGTAGGTTGTTTTGTGTTGTGTTGACACCTAAAATGTTTGGGTCTTCTAGGAATGAATCCTAGGAATTATAACTTTTGGTCCATGGTCTTAGAAAGAATGTCCGAGAGGTTAACATGTTGGAAGAAAGGCTCTATCTTGTTGGGGGGTAGTATGACGATGATCAAATCCATTTTGGCTAATCTTTCAATGTATTACTTGTTTGTGTTTAGGATTCCAAAGAGAGTGGGGAAAGAGTTGGAAAAATTAATGAGAGATTTCTTGTGAGAGATAGGAGGAAAACAAGGATCACTTGATTAAATCAAATGGGAGATAGTGTGTAGAAACAAAATTTATGGAGGCTTGAGGGTATGGAACATAGACTTAAGGAACTTGCCTTTGTTGGGAAGTGGCTATGGAGGTTTCCTGGAGATAGAGATAAACTGTGGCACAAGGTTATATTAAGTATACATAGGCAATTGTATAATGGATGCGGTTGTTGAATTATTGACAAGCGGATTAGAGGCTTTCCCTTGGAAGGCTATTCATTCCGTTCTTCTTTGTTTTCTTTCATGTATCAGGCATGATGTTTGTTCTGGTAATAATGTCAAATTATGGGAAAATGAAGTGGGGCACTCTCCTCTAAAAGACCAATTCCCTTCTCTGTGCATTATCTTCTTTCAAAGAAGAAGCTGTTTCATAGTTTGTTTTTCCTTTGGGCTCTTCGAATGGTTTTGATTGGGATTTGGGCTAGAAGGGGTCTAAGGGACTCCGAAGTTCCTAATACTCTTGGGCTCTTTCAAGTACTAGATGGAATTTACCTGGACCCCTCTAGCTCTCACTCTTGGATTTGGACTCCTTCTTGATCAGGTCCTTTCTCATTTGCTTCCTTTTTCAAAGTCCTATCTCAGCCCTCCTCTTCTCATTGCCTTTTCCTATTAAAGAGGTTTTGTGTAGACCTATTCCTTCTAGAGTTAGCACTTCCAATCAGGAGAATTTTCACGAGAACATTAGCACTTGTGATGTGCTTTGGAAGAGGATATTGTTGTCTATCTCCCTCTTGGTTTTTTCTTTGCAATACTAATGGTTAGACTTGCTTTCAATTGCTATTTTCTTGTCCATTTGTCACAAGTATTTGGGAATGGTTCTGTTATCTTTTTGGTGCAGGTGGACTCCTCCATATATGGGGTTGGCTACATTAATTCTGTTCTGCCATTTCACTTTGTTCAGTGCCATATCCAAAGCTTGAAATGTCGATGTTGGTGGAAATGTCAGTCATCCAAATATAAGAAACATGTCAGAAATATCGTATGGAAATGTCATAAAAATTATAGATATGGTGGAAACATTGTAAAATGTGCAAAATATAGAATGGTATTTTATGAAATGATAAAAGAAGCATAGGGACACCTTTTTAAATTATTATCTTATTCTAAATCATTAAACAAAGCTAAGAAACTAAGGTTATAGACAAAGGAATATGTTCTAAAGTTTCCCTATAAACCTTAAGATTTAGAGCTTCATAATAGAACAAGTTAAAGAAAAATTTAAAACCAAATAATCTATAATGCAAACAAAAAAACTAATATTTAACTTCATATTTGAAATGAATATTGAGTTAGCTCAAAGTGGTAATCATATAAGTTAGGTGGACAGTAACTTGCTACTTCACATATCTACAATATTGTCACCAACTTATGTTATAATACTATCTCTTGTACTCCACATAGTATTGGTAGTGTTCAATGTGGAATATGTCAATTCCGGTAAAATTTCATATTGCTACCCATGGAAGTGGAAATGGAAGTATGTTGTGGAAACTATCTCTTGTACTCCACATAGTGTTGGTAGTGTTTATTTGGGGAAATGCCGATTCCAATAAAATTTCATGTCGCTACCCATGGAAATAGAAATATGTCGTGGAAATATTAGGGAAATTAGGGACATTTTAAATATGGTCATATCCATAGTTTTCAAGGCGCTAAGGTGAGGCTAGGCGATAGGGGGGTGCCTTGTCACCTAGTCACCTAGGCGGCCTAGGCGATGGATTTTTTTAAGTGAAAAACATATATCCTAGGGTAGTTCCCTAGGTTCCATAACCATATTTCTGTGATAGTTATCCATAATTTTGATAAGAAAAGTATAGAACTTCATGTTTAAGTATAGAAAATCAACATATTCATGTAAAGAAAAAGAAGAAAGAAAGGAAAACTCAAAATATATAGGGGCTAAACCCCTATTTTTTTATAGGAAAAGAAGAAGAAGTCTTTGAGTGTTCAATTTTAAGTTCCTCCTTACTTATTGGTTCAGGTTTCAAAGTCTTTGAGGGTTCAATACAGCAATAAGCAATGTCTGTGTTAATTTAACCCTAACAAATAAGAAAATAATAAAAATAAATTAGTATATAAACACACAAAATGAATATTTTAGTTTAATAATGTCTATTTTATAATTATAATCTCAAGAAATTGAGAATATAAAAGTATTTTATAACATAATATACAAAACTGCTTGGCAGTTAGGCGAGGTGAGCCTCCAAGGGTGCTTTGTCACCTAGGTGTCGGCTTGACAACTATGGTCATATCCATTAATAAATCATAGACCCTCAGAAAAAAAGGGTCCTTCAATTTATTTCTAACTACTTCACAGTAAAGGATGATTCTAATATTTTGAAATGCTGGGAGATTGGCTATGACTTCATATTTAACTTCAATTTTCTAGCACTACCTCCCCAAAGAAAAGAATTACTTAGATTTTCTATTTCTTCATCTTCTTTCTTGGTTTTTCTACTATTGGCTTTATGAGCCTACATCCCCTTTTCCCCCTCCATTTTGTAAGACAGATCTACAAGGAAAATTTCTTGCAGGGGAATAAGCCAAGAGGAGAAGATATATCTGAGAACAAAACTGCTGTCGCATTTGAGGGAGGAAAATTATCAGGTGATGAATGGGATTCTAATTTTGCTAGATCTTTTACTGCTTTCATTTGTTGAAGTGACATATTAATCTTACTTCATAGACTTTTTAGTGAGTCAAAATGGATGGCTTTGTATTTCATAATTGGTTTATGTTTTGTTGGTCTTTATTTTGGTTTAGGTGTGGTAATCCTTAGGAGGGTTGGTCTTGGGGGGGTGCTTCCTGGCTATCGTGTAGGTTCTATTTCCCATTTCTTTTGTGGTCTTGCGTCTTCTTTTAGCCTTTATTTTCTATTTCTAATTTTGGGTAGTTAGTGAATCTCATTTGTGGTTGTCATTATCTTATGATTAATGATAAGATTCGTGAATTTGGGTCCTGAATCCCAAGGGTTCCAATCCAAATCTTATGATTGAATCCTTTTCTAAAAAAATTTACAAGTTATGATTACTGTTTGACTCTTATAATCCAGTATTAATTCTTGAATCTTATGGTTTATACGATTGATTGGATTCAGAACAATTTGATTAGGAACTAATCCTGAACTTTGTCATTCCATTGATTATTTTTAATTTTTCTCATGGGGCTTTTGTTTTAAAACCCTTACAAATATAAAAATCGAGGTAAATTTCATTCTCCCCTAAACTTTCACTTCTGGCTCAGTTTGGAAAATGTACAAATACCAATGTGTACAGTACAAACACATATAAAATAATACAAAATAAGGTTTTGCACTCTACATATTTGTATTTGTACTTTTTCCAAACTGAGCCTTTATTACAAAATTTGCCTTTACTTTTAAGTTTTAACTATTTACATATGTAACCAATAAATTGCAATCTCCCTCTGACACTTAATCCAAGGTTTCAAATTCTTCCATAGTAGTCGTACATTTCAACAAATTGACTATTTTCTTTTGTCACTAACAAATTGAATATTTAATCACTTTTTTAGAATATTTGATAGATAGAAAGATGAAAATTCAAACTTTCCTGATGATGATCTCAACATAAAAGAAGATGATTAATTAGATTGGTTTCTATTTTTGATATCGTAAATGACATGTTTCTATTTTTAATATTGTAAAAGAATTTGAATATATCAATTTCTAAACTGAAGATTTCTTTACAAATTATGTGAATGTTAAATCTATATCTCAAGTCAAAACTTGTTTGTCCATTTTACTTTTTCTTTTTTCTGAGAAGTAACCGAAATTCATTAAGGAAAAAAGGTGTACATGAGCCAGATGTACAGAAGAAACTACAGTAGGGGAAAGGGAGCAGAAGAGGAAAACACAAACCGAAATTACACAGACAGATTTCTTCCACTGAATAGACGGCCCCTTAGGATCCCTGATTTAGCTAGACTATCAGCTAAAGAGTTCAACTCTCTGGGAATCCAACAAAGAGTAACTCTTTGGGAATCCAACAAAGAGTAGCATTCATCGAAAACAATAAATCCCTAGCCTTATTCAGATAGTGATCCAGCCTCCAAGGGTCTCTGTCTTTTTCCTTTAGCCACTTGATGGTATTTTCCGAGTCACCTTCTATGATCGGGGTAGAGAAGCCCAAGGTTTTTGCAAACCAAATCCCTGTTAGAGCTGCCGCAACCTCTGCCTTTGAAGAACCTGCAATACCAATTGGGCCACTGAAAGTCGAACACAAGTTCCCATCCCTTTCTTTGATCACTCCCCCAATACCCGCAGCACCAGGATTCCCCAAGGCACTCCCATCAAAGCTTAATTTAACAGCCTCCATCTGATTTGTTCCAGGCACCCTAGGAAATGAGGGACTTGTGGGGGAAGAAAAGAGGAATTCCACCACATTTCTGTGTAAATCATCCACAGAAATCCCATCAAAGAATTTTGTATTCACCATCCAGAGAATGCACGTCAGAAATGTGGGTAACCAGGTCTCCAATTTTTTGATGAATAATAGTAAGTTTATTGATTCAGAAGCAAATTAGAGTGAGTTCATACATCATCCCAGTGAGAGGCGCGAGCTGCAGCCCCTCCTTGAAACTTACAAGTAAACTAGGAAAGAAAAACAAGAATCACAACTGAGCCCAAAAT